TCGATTTCAAAAAGTCAATATATGTCCTATTTTGTATATTATTTATATATACATGTTATCTAATAAATTTATTTGCAATTTTTGCGTGAAAGGAACAACCAGATCTTCAAAAGCTAGAAATTACCGGCTGAAAATCTCTTCAATATAGTTGATAGGAAAAATTACAGTATTTGTTTTGCAAGACGTGACAAACTCCACTTAAAAAAAATTATTTTGGTTCGACATAAGTATTTCTCCGTAAATGTCTCTGTTTAAAAATGTATATCAGATTGTTCATACTCAGAATTGTTGTTGACAAACACTAATTTTGTTAAGAAATTGTGGTTTATTCTCATCGTAAGAGAATGTCTTTTATCGGTTTCTAATTGGGACCTCAACAATAAGTTAGATCTTAAACAACAAGTTTATATTCAGATAAGCAAGCAAGTAATCACAGTTTCGAAATTCTAGTGAAGTTTTTATTGAAGTAATAGTAGTTTCTGTTGGATATCATATGATAAATTTATAACCATAAAGATGAAGGTGGTTTGGGTTTCCTTTCTTTGGAGAAATTCGATACAGTTGTTTTGGCTTAACAATTATTTGAGATTATCTTGATTTTCAGATTCGTTGGTAGCAAAAGTTTTTGTGATGTCCATCATATGCATGCTAGAAACCTTATTCTTCGCTGTTCGAATAGAAAATAACTATCTTGACAAAAGAGTTATTTAGGTGGGGTCCATGTAAGACTAATAATCTATGGTTTGAGTTATGATATATCGATTTAGAATGATATGTGGAGAGACCCGACCATATACATGTGTAAGGAGTGCATTTGCATAGAGCATATCTACTTAAACAAAAATTTGGTCCAAATCTACAGCCCATGACAAAAAAAATTGATAAAATAGAGTCATTTTTGGTAAAATTTGTTTTATAAAGGCCTAAAAAAAAATTCCAACCACTGGACCTTATAATAAATTGAGCTGGGCCTCTTTGTGGATACTATATATTTTCCATCAATTTTTAGGGGGGATATTGGTAGTAGGATTTAGATAGAGTTTGTTGATTTTAAAAGTTTGGAGATTTATTAAATTTGTAGATAGATTTATTGAATTTGTAGAGAGTTTTGTATATTCAATAAATCTATCAAAGATTTGTATTTTAAAGATTTCCAGAATCTCATGTATTTCCTTAAAAATTTTGAAAGTTTTGTTTAATGAGTGGAATTGTTAAGAATTCATGTCCCATAGAATTACATCTATACTTATAAATACGAAGTCGCAAATCTTACGTGTCGTCTCCAGAGTGAGTTTAAGATTTGATCTTTCGAAAATATCCTTAATGAATTTTGAAATTACAAAACTATGCCATCACTATTAGTGGGCCACGATTTTTCCATAGTCTTCTTCCAGCAGGTTTATGGTGATGAATTTTTCCAAAGTCTTCTTGCAAAAAGTTCATCGTGTCACAATATAGGTGCAAGTTCTTCCATAATTTTTTTTTCTTTCGATTAAGCTGTAATTGTTTCTCTGGAAAAA